TGACATATTACTTGGTAACTAAGTAATAGATATTAATTAATTATTCTTGGTCAACTTATAATTACCTTTTTGGTAATTACTTATTGAAAAAGTGTTTTCCTTCTAATTCCTTACTTTGATGGAAAGTAGAATTACGTTACTAAAAGGAAAACTGGTCATCTCCCTGACTTTATAAAAGTGCATATACTCCATCAATTATGTACGATTATTGATACAACACGTAATAATTTTATGTGTGCAAAAGGCTAAGAGAGAGAAACCAGTTTCCACCTTTGGCTGTTGATCAGAGTTGCAGATTAGTTCGTGGTTAAAGAATCTAGACGTTGGACCTAATCTCAACAAAGTTTGATATCATGAATCAAGATATGTATATCTAACTATATATATTTATGCGTTATGAGAATGTGAAATTAATTAAAGTTCTAAGATCTAGGGATATATGATTATTTGTGATTAATATTTAACACAAATTAATTAGGGTTTTACATGTGGTATCAGAACCCAAGTTTTGGAACTCATTATTTTTTTCATTATATATGCATAAATAATATGTTTAAGTTTAAATTAAAATTAAACAAATAAATAATTTTAATTTAACAGATCTGATCAAACCTTTTTCAATTTCGTACACTAGTAGCGTTTTTTGAATTACTATCACGGATCTGTTTGTATGTGATCAGTTTTGTCTCATTATGGTACACCTATATATGTTGTATGTGATCTGTTTTGTCAGATTTTGGTTTCATGAAATATATCTCTTAGTACATATAATATATCGATTACCAGATTTGTTGTTTTTATTAAATTGCCTGCCCTGATTTGGAACCTAATGAATGGTTAATAGTTATATATTTATATATATATAACTTATATATATATAAGCAAGATGAGACAAATCTAAGTGTTTTTCGTGCATGCCTATCAGTAGTATAGAGAATGAAATTTTATTTTTTATTTTTACTTTTGATTTCGCGGAAAACGAGGTGCCAAATTGTAATGATATCTTTTGTTTTGTCCATGATTACATATGTTTATCGATATACACCTACAGTACATATATCTATGATATTTTTGGGCACTCTCTAGCAATTTAATTAATTGATTTTGTAAAATATGTGTGCATAATATGGTGGGTAATTTAATGTTAAATTTATCACTAAATAATTAAATATTCATATTATACAAATGTTGGTAACTACTAAAGTGGCCTAACCATAATGATTAATGGATATTAATTTTAGTGATAGACATAATTGCAATATTTCATGAATAATGATGCTTATAATTTTTTTGTAAAATTCATGAATATTGGGTTTATTCAATTATTAGAAATAATTTCTCAAATGAAATTAATTTTCAAGTGATTAAATAAACATTAAAGGTTTGTATGTAATTTTTAATTGGGTAGATATAGGATATACAAAGGTAACTTGTCTATTTAATTACTTAGTGTATCACCAATGAAGCTATATATAAATAAATACATCTAAGCATCATTTTTTTTTTTTATATTTTGTGGTTACTATCCAAAGGGGTACCATAGTTATACAATGTATTCATTTATTTTTATATGTGTTGTTATCTCAAAGTATTAATGTTATGAGCATTTACCTTGTTATGATTATTTTATTGCAGTATCTCTTCCTGTTTCAGTGAATTTGCATGCTTCATCTGTTCCAAATCTCAATGGGACTAACTTCTCAAAATGGAATGAACAAGGTCAGTTCAACTTAGGTATGCTAGATCTTGATTTAGTATTTCAAATTGAGAAACCTACTGTTATTACTGGTGAAAGCAGTGAGGAAGAAAAGTCTCTGCATAAAGTTTGGGAGAAATCGAACAGATTGAGTATTATGTTTATGTAAATGACTATTGCAAACAATATCAAAACAATTCTTCCCCAAACTGATAGTGCTAAGGAATATTTGAAAAATATTGAAGAACGTTTCCGTACTGCAGATAAGTCTCTTGCAGGGAAATTAATGGCTGACCTCACTACTATGCGTTTTAATGGTACTCAAAGTATGCATGAGCATGTTCTTGACATGACTAATCTTGTTGCGAAATTGAAAACTTTAGGGATGAATGTGGATGAGACTTTTCTCGTTTAATTTATTCTCAATTCCTTACCTACTCAGTATAGGCCATTTCAAATTCACTATAACACTATTAAGGACAAGTGGAATGTGAATGAATTGGCCAGTATGTTAGTTCAGGAGGAAGGAATGCTTAAGCAACAAGATAATCATAATGTTCATCTCATGACTCAAGAAGTTAGAAATAAATTTAGGAAAAGGCCTGGAAAAGGCATTAAGCGAGCAACACCCCAAATAAAGGATTCTGATCAAGCTACTCAAAAGAAGGAACGCAAGAATGATAAGTGTCATTTTTGTAACAAATCTGGACACTTTTAGAAAGATTGCATAAAACGTAAAGAATGGTTCGAAAATAAGGGTAAGTCTTTGGCTTTTGTATGTTTTGAATCAAATTTAATTGAAGTTCCTTCTAATACTTGGTGGGTTGATTCAGGTTCTAATGTTCATATTTCCAATACGATGCAGGGATTCCTTTCAACCCAAACCACAAATCCAAATGATGATTTCTTGTTCACAGGGAATAGGGAGAAAATTCCAGTAAAAGCCATTGGGACATTTCGTTTAGTTTTAGATAGTGGATTTCATTTAGATTTGTTTAAAATTCTTTATGTTCCTTCAATTTTCCGTAATTTGATTTCTTTGTCCAAACTTGATGTTGATGGTTTTTCATTTAAATTTGGTAATGGATGTTTCAGTTTGTTCAAAAAATCCCAATTTGTTGGTTCTGGTATTCTTGTTGATGGTTTATACAAGATAAAGCTTGATGATTTATTTTCTGAAACACTTTTGACCTTGCATCATAATGTTGGAACCAAACATAACTCAATTAATGAAAATTCATCTTTCTTGTGGCATAAAATATTGGGTCATATATCTAGTGAAATGTTAAAAAGATTAGTAAAAGATAAAATTCTTTTGAATCTAGATTTTACTGATTTATTGTGTGTGTGGATTATATTAAAGGTAAACAAACCAAACACACAAAGAAAGGAGCCAGAAGGAGTATAGAGCTTCTTGAAATTATTCATACAGACATTTGTGGATCTTTTGATGTTCCATCTTTTGGTGGAGAAAAATATTTTATCACCTTTATAGATAATTTTTCACATTATGGATATATCTATTTGTTGCATGATAAATCTCAAGCAGCGAATACTCTTCAAGTATACTTTAATGAGGTTGAAAGGCAACTAAATAAAAAAGTGAAAATAGTAAGGTCATATAGAGGTGGTGAATATTATGGAAGGTATGATGAAACGGGTCAATGCCCTAGACCGTTTGCTAAACTCCATGAAAAGCGTGGCATTTGTGCTCAATACACTATGCCAGACACGCCACAGTAGAATGGTGTAGCTGAAAAGCGTAATCATACTCTTATGGAAATGGTTAGGAGTATGTTAAGTAATTCCTCGTTACCCATATCATTGTGGATGTATGCTTTTAGAACTGCTATATATATATTAAACAGGGTTCCTAGTAAGGCAGTTCCAAAAACTCTATTTGAACTATGGACAGGAAGGAAACCTAATTTAAGGCACCTACATGTTTGGGGTTGCCCAGCGAAAGTTAGGATTTATAATCCACATGAAAAGAAATTGGATTTTAGAATAGTTAGTAGGTACTTTATTGGTTACCCAGAAAAATCCAAAGGGTATAAGTTTTACTGTTCTACACATAGTACAAGAATTATTGAAACCGGTAATGCCAGATTCATTGAGAATGGTGAAATCAGTGGGAGTGATAGAAATGAGAATGTGATCATTCAAGAAATTAGGGTACAAATCCCTTTACCCACAACTTCTAAAGAAATAATTGTTTCTCCAGTTGTTGAACTACATAACAACGAAAAACAATTAAATGATCAACAACTCCATAATGAAACTATCACCAATGAAGTTATAGAAGAACCACAAGGAATAACATTAAGACGGTCTCAAAGAGAAAAGATACATGCTATTTAAGATGATTATGTGGTATATCTACATGAATCTGATTTTGATATAGGGATATGTAAGGATCCGGTTTCTATTTTCTGCTGGTTGTGGGGTGGGGATGATGGTTCTCCCAGTGGTGGTTGTTTATCGTTGAAGAGATTTGTAGATGGAGGTGTGATGAGTTTTCAGTGGCTTCTGTGGTTGGATTTGTGATGGTTACCAACGCGTGAAAGCTCTCGACGAACGTTGAGTTAACGAGCTCCGGGTAAAGATCTGGTTTGCCGGCGATGATTTTGAAGTAGGGGTACTTGAGGCGGGCTTCGATGTTGGCGTGGAAGTGGTGCTGGAAGGAGAAGACGAAGACGGGCCAGAAACCTAGAACACTGACCCTTTAGGGACGGCGAGGGAGAGAGCACAGAGTCCGCAATCTCCTTGACTTCAATCCACCGATAAATTGTGCCTTTTTGATGGACCAGAAGGTGGGGTAGGTGTCCCTTTTGGTAATAAATATGTTGAAGACTATGCCTTGATATCGCGAAAAGGGGTCGTGCTTTCGCCGGTAACGCATTGAATTTTCCATTGACTTACTGGAGACTTCGCCGGTCGGGTCATTACTCATAAACCAGGTGTGAGAACCAAAATAATAATGAGAATTTGAAAGAGGTGTCTTGAAAGAGATATGGCTTTGGTGTAGGATGATGAAGAAGCCATTCGAGAGTTTTTATTGGTATGGGTTGTGGTGGTAAGAGTGTAATAATAAAGGGTATAATGGTAATATGATATTTGAGAATAAATGAGATTAAACAATTAGGGATAAAATTGTCCTTGACATATTTTTAACGGATACTATTACAAAAAAAATAAGAATGAACTAATTATTTTTAAAAGATATTTGGGGGTAAAAAATGATCAAATCTAGGTTCAATGAAATTAACCATAATTTATTTTATAAGAGAGGATTCGGGCTCGTGTTTCGAAACCCTTTGGCATCCGCCCACGGAATGCAGTGTCAACTTCCACTCTCTCTTTCCACCTGTTTCCTACTCTTTCAAGTATTCTTTGCTTCATTCCCTCAGTCTGCCCGTAAAGAGAGAGAATATATATGTCTTGTATACACACACACAAGTAGTTACGTATGGAGAGAGAAACTAAGGAAGATGGAAGATTGGGTAGCAGTGGTGATTGTGGTGGTGGTGTTCGTGTTGCTCATGCCGGGACTGTTGTTTCAGTTCCTTGGGAACAACAGAGTGTTCGAGCTTGCTAATATGCAGACAAGCGGTAAGTCCATTTTCGTCCATACCATCATCTATTTCGGTCTCCTCACCGTCTTCCTCATCGTTATAGGCGTTCACATATATGCTGGCTAATTAAACTACCTACACTACTACTTTCTTAATTAGTCTATATGTATATCTCGTCTTTTATCTCTGTGAGTGAACAACTCCTACAAGATTTTAGATTTGTGGGCTATATTGTAATTTCCTCTTTTTCTTTTTCTTTCATTTTTGAATCTATTTTTCTTTTACAGTAAGGTGGATTCTTAATTTCTTATCTTATCTTGTATGAAAAAAATTTAGTGTTGCTGAGTAGCCATTTAATGACACTCTGTGTTGAACTGACAATTAAGTAGTGAAAAAAATTAAATATTGAATTTGAAGTGTTTAAATTTATAAGTGGTAAAAAAATTGAGCTCATATTTTTTTTTTTTTTTTTTTTGAGTTTTAGGTTTTCAAAATTTAATAATGCAAGTTACTGTAATTTAAGTGAGGAATTCGGATCCCTCATTAATTCACCCACATCTTCCCTAATTAATTCACCCGATTTCATTCTTTTCAAAATTGAATGCAGGTGAAATAGAATGACAAAAAACACTTCATTTAAAATAAAGTGATTAACATCCTTTGTAAAAAAATTCAAAAAACATATAACGAGTTATATTGGTAAAATAATATAAAGTTTTTCTCATTCGGTCTCTTTGTTATGAAATATGATGTCAATTCCTCCTTTTTACTCATCATCAAAGGTTGTACACTATTGGTATTTCAACCACCTCTCAAAAGAGATGGTGAGGTTTTGAGTCTCCGTAAGAACAAGTGGGGAAACTTGAGTTTTTTTTTTTTTTTTAGATAATTGGAGTGTCCGGAGCTATGCCCGGCTAATCCACACGACCCCACCCCCAGTCGAGTGGTTGGAGCAGTATTACAAAGTTTTACGATCATAAGCCCCCAAGCAATCAACTCAGAAATTTACCAACCGAAGGGAAAAGGACTACAGCAGTAGATTGAGTACAAAGTGAGAGCCATAATTCATGGGAATAATAACATATCTACCTTTATTTCCGAGACAAATTATTACACGATCTAGAATTATATGTCCCGGTCAATCAAGGTTGTTAGGTAACCTTGTAATTGGTCGGAACCACATAGTCCTGAATCATGAAACTCATACTGCTATTTCTAAGTTGCATAACAGAACAGAATCTGGTAACAAAACGCATAAATTTCAAATTTAATAAAACCCAGCAATTCAACACCAACCAGTAAATCAGGCAAACCCCAAAATATCTTTGACATCAGTAAATGCTTTCTTCTGACACCTAATTGTAATTGTAAGCTGAATAATATGGGAAATTATTACATATTTCAATACTACGGATAATTACAACTCGGCATTATTACATAATTCAACACTACATGGTTCCGGACAATCAAAACTTGGCACACAAGCAAAATTATATGGTCCTGGACAATAACATAGCCAAAATTTTGTTTGTGTGTCGAATTGTGATTGACCAACACTATGTAGTACCGAAATATGTTCAAATTTCTGGAAAAATATTACATAATGTACTTTTAAGTTAAAAGTTCTAAGTTGGCACAATTTGAATCTCTCTCACGGAACACGCGCACATTCACAAATTGTGGAACACTCGGATCTTTCCTTTTGAAGAGATTATACTATTCGGACTAATGCTCAATGCTAAGATTAAAAAAAAAAAAAAAAAAACGCTATATTTGAGAGCACTGAATTGGTGCCTTAAATTTGAAATTGCATAATTTTAGTTAAAAATTTGAACTAAATTTCCTTTAATTTTAAATCCGATGCGCCGATTTAATGCTCCCAAACGCAATATAAGTTTCAACAACAAAAGAATTTTTAACTCGAGACAAATTGGAGCAACTTGGAGAGAGTTTGGTAGTAGGAATGGCAACGGGGGCGGTGGGTGTGCCCGCCCCCGCCCCCGTTTAAAAAACCCCACCCCCTGTGCACAACCGCCTAAAAGGGGTGCCCTGCCACCCCATCCTTGCCCATTTATGTTTTTTCACCCCGCGGGCACCCACCCAGCCCCGTTTACTCCCAACTGTTTTTCCCTACTTTCTAATTTGTTTCTTCCCAAACATAACTATACAACTATAAAACCCACATAAAAAGCACATTATCAATAGTAGATTAAGGGTTTAGAAATGTTAGGGTTCCTATTCTTTTATACCTACACTACATGAGGGTAATTTAATAAAATTAAACCTCAATGAGCGAGGGAAGGTGACCCTCCCCCTGCCTCGCAACAAAACCGCACGAGCTTTTTTCCCATAAAACCTGTCCCCGCCCAAATCCCTTAAACAGTTCCTCAAAACCAGTTTATAATGGGGCAGGGCGGGTACCAGCCCCCGTGGGGCAAATTGCCATCCCTATTTGGCAGTTAACTTTGGATCCTGGCATGCCTTGCCTTGCAAACTACTCCCTCTGTCTCAAAAAATGTTCACGGTTAATGTTCCCTTATAGGAAACCGTGAATATTTTTTGGGATAGAGGGAGCATATTCAAAAGTATACAAGATAGAGGTGACAGGATGAGTTATAGAAGCAGCTTTGCTCCACACAAGCTTGGCTCAGGTGCAGGACAACAGTTGTGTTGTACTGTATCCAACAGTCCGCAAGCCTCACACATGTGATCATGCACACGTGCAAATTGTGGATCCTCATGCCCTACTGGCTACTTGAGTGAGGTTTTCTCTGCCTAAACTAAAGTTCTAAGCCCAAAACTAATTTTTCTTATAAAGAAACATGCTAGAGAATCATTATGATTTTACTCAGGTTTCTAAATTACATATTAATTCAAGCCAACTTTTTAAATTTTTTTAAGGGGCTGAAAACAAATTATGTCCCCAAACTAAATATAAATTTTAAAAAAAAAAATTCCTGAACTAAAAATATTATGTTCCTTCACAAAATTGAAATTGAAATTTGTAGAATTAGATAAAAATAATTCACAAAATTGAACCAAAATTCTAAATTCCAATTCTAATTCCATGAAGCTGAATACAACCTTAATTTATTAGGTTAATTTTACTGACACACCTTCAGGTTTGGCCAAATATCACATTAAAATACCTTTCGAAAATTACTATCACTCATATTGCAAATGTTTGTTCCGTCATTCACTCGCACCCCAACAGTCACCTGCATATCTCTGACACCTTGTAAAGTGACTTAAATACCATTTGACTTTGTAAAAAGAGCTTTTTGACCTTAAAAAATTAGATTAAAAGACTAAACTATCCCTAAATAATTTGCCAAAAGACCTTTTTCTATATAAAAAAATTAGATTAAAGGACTAAACTATCACTAAATGATTTCTAATTTTTCTTATGAAGAAACATGCTAGAGAATCATTGTGATTTAACTTTTTAAATTTTTTTAAGGGGCTAAAAACAAATTATGTCCCCAAACTAAATATAAATTTTTTAAAAAAAAAATTTCCTGAACTAAAAATATTATGCTCCTTCTAATTAGCCTCTTTTACTCCATTCTCAAACAATGTAAATCCCTGATGGTTGAAATCTACACTTCCAAAAGCACAAACTAATAACATAGAGAAGAAAAATATATAAAAAGAAATAGAAATCAGTATTTTTCTTAACATAATAACTAACAAAGACATTAATTTCAACTTATCAAAAAAAAAAAAAAAGTCATAAATTCTTACCTCCAACAATTCACTATTCTACTTAACAAAGAAACCATATCCACATGTTTCAGTTTTGTCTTTGAAAAAAAGTTATCCACAGTTCCTCCACCAATTCCTTCTTGTTGTACATTGCTAGAAGCAGCACTGATGATAAGAACATTGGCGCTGCTCAATCCTCCATCACATATTCAGCCGCCACTCTCACAGAAGTTTCCAAGCTGCGCGATAGGAAAATCATTATAGAGGAGTTAAGAGCAAGTCCTTGCACAGAAAAAGAACACATTGAATAATGCATAAAAGAAAAAGAAAATTAGTTTAATAACCTTTAAGAGAGAGAGAGAGAGAGAGAGAGAGAGAGAGAGAGAGAGAGAGAGAGGGGCATCAGATACTACACTCTCCATAATTAACCAATTCAATTAACAACTACTAGTCTTGTATTAAGCAAAGCAAATCTGACAGAGAAGGTGATCTCATAAGTTCATAACCACTTCAAGAGATTCAAGGCAGTACCCGATCTGCCTGTAATTTCAAAAGTGGGAAAGCTAAGTTGGATTCATGGGCTCCTATGACAGGCTCTTGCCAAGATTGGAGGTGTAACAAGTCGAGTAATAGACTAAATTGACCAAGTCTAGGCACAAAACCATGTTGAGGTTCAAAGTTCAAACTGGACTAAAACCTAAGTAGAACTATTCAAGCTTGGGCCATGCTTGATACGCCTAACTAAAGCTCGATTCATGTAGGTGTAATGGAGCTAGATCTTCCTAACAACAAATAAGCGTGCCTACTTGTACTAAAATAAAAAACTTGAACTTATGAACAAAAAAAAATTAAATAAATAAATAAACTTGAAGTTTCATAACAAACAACTAGATAATTTTACATTTAACAGCAAAGACAAGATAATTAAACTTCATGTAGCAAATATGCAATGGGTCCATTTATCTAAATAATAAAGCAACTACAAATATCAAGCAACATCAGTCAACTTGCAATCACAACATTTTAAGAGCTCATTTAAACCTTTAAATTTCTCAAATTTTGTCTCATGGTACACATCTTTTTGCTTCTTACGTAAATGCCAAAACTGGAGTGTCATGTGGGATGTTCGGTATTACCTTCACATTTACTGAATATATCCTTATTTGCCTCACCTTCATCCTATATGTGCCAGGTTAAAAATAAAAAAATATATATCCTATATGTGCCATGTAAAACCAATTTCCTCAATGAGGTATCTCCTGGTAACATTTTGTTATGAAATGCAATTTAATAACACCAAACAAAGATTAACTATTCAAGAGCCTTTAGTAGGTCTGGCATCTTTAGTACTTAACCTTGACAACTAATATCTTACCATGCCAGGCCTAATCAAAAGAGTTGGAAGATAAAAATATTGTCCTCACATAAATGCAACAATTATAGCTAATTAAATGATTCTAATACAAGGTATGTCATAAAAAAATAAATAACATTATAAAGCCTCAAATAGATCTCAGACCATAAATTTGCATGCTCAAAACCACTATTTCAAGTTAACTTCAGCATTCAAATACTATTTGCACAACTTTTCTATAAAACCATCATATATAATTTTTGACAAGCACGAGACAAACAGCAGTGTCCCATACCAGGACTCTCCATTTGAAAGTGGTAGGTGCTAGCAATTGAGCGGATAAAAACTGTCACCACATTTACCCAATGGGCAGATAATTTAATTCTAAGGTAGATTAAGATATTCTAGAAGCCAAATTTGATTATATTTGGTCTGATAAATAGCTGCTTAATGTGTGAACGTACACCCAAATATCTATAAGAGTCAATTATTTGCTTTATTTTGTTTATTATCATTATTATTATTATTTTGGAAATGGAATAAGAAAATAGAAGAGGACGGAAATTAGAAGAGAACTATTTATCAAACAATTGCTTCCTTTCCCATTCCAACTAGAGTTTGAAAGCAGAACACAGAGGAATTACTACAATATCATTTCCTTTTCTCTCTTGCATAACCGAACACCAGATTGAGACAATTTCAAAAATATATTCACTTTTCTACATGCATCTACAACCAAACAACCATAGAGATTAATTACCAACACAAACAAACATAAATACAAATTAATAGGCTGAAAATTTCATAAAAAATTCTAATTATTAAAAAAATAAATAAATAAAAATAAATTAATTAATTAAGATAGCAAGAAACCAGTAACTTATTTTGATCATTGCATCTAAATTAATTATGAAATCAACATAATGATCATTATTAACAAAATGAACAACTACACGGTGATCAACAGACATTTATGATAGAAATATCATTTATTTGATCAACCGCAACTGAAATTTACTGATTTTTTACCTGGAACCTCCTTCCGCGGCGAGGACGGGTACGTGGTTTGACAAAGAATAGCTCGTCCCAACATCGACAAGCTCGAGACAATCCCAACCACATAGAAAACCATCACCAATCCAAGAACCCAAGGCATCAACAAGAACCCAATTAAGAACGTAACAGACCCACATAGCATCAAAGCCATCGAAATCCCCAAAAGCAACGACGCGAACCCCGCCGGCGAGATCTGAGCTTTCGCCGACGCCGGCGGCCTAGTTGGCATCGCCGGTGAGTGATCGGTAAACGAATTCGGCGTAGGAGGAGATCGGAGGATGTCGAGAACCAGAGCTGATAGCTCGTAGAAAACCCTAGAGTGTTGATCTTGCCGTCTTCTCATCATATTTTTCCCGAGAAAATCTGAAAACCCTAGCCCTAAAGATCCAAGAAATTTTTTTAAAAAAATGGGAATTTGAAAATTGCTAAAATCGAGGCAAACGGATAGATAAATAATATCGATCTATTGATTGGAGAGGGTTTAATTTTTATTTACAATGTTACAGAGCTGTGAAAGGGCAGGAGGGATGGTTTGTTTGTTTGTTTCTGGGGAAAATTTTGTGAGAAATGGACTGAGACGCGGCGTCGCGGTCTCACCAGTCATAAATTTGATTTGCCATATATAGAGTATAGTTTATGTTCTAATTTTCTATCTGCGGTTTGAATTGAATGTAGATAAAATAAGAAACATACTTATCTTAAAAGGATTCGGCTACATTGATTGAATTACACAAGTTTTAGACGCGTGGAGCTGACAAAGCTTATTTATCTGATTATTAAAACACATTTACGTCTCTGATTATTAGACGTTATATTTTTAATTAATAATAAAATAATTATTTTTATTGTCAAAGTATTTTTGATAAAAATCAAAAGTATATTCGAAAAAAAAAATTTGTTTTGAGAAACGATATATGTTTAATATCATAATAATTTTTGTTAGGTAAATCACTAAAAACATTGCATGATATTATTTTGTATGACAGGATTTTAGTCTATTTAGTGGTACCACCTCACCTTCTACTTAGGTTTAAGTCTTCTTTGAAAAAAAAAAAAAAAAAAAAAAAAACAAATTTTCCAAAATCATAGCATGACTCGTTGAGTAAAGAAATGGATGCTGTCCAACCTAATCTCTTTCCTCAAACAGTTTAGTGGTTTAGATTTATTCGTGTCAACCACTCCTTAAATTTCATGTTGAAAGTTGGAATTAAATTTGTAAATGATAAAATTAAGATGAAACTGGATTGGATTTGGACCACAAAATTGAGAGATATTTGATGGGAAAGAATCCTTGTCATTACTCCATTCTTTATCCAGGGAATGGGTTTTATTTTCTCATTACATCCGCATTTAAACAATGCATCCAACCTATCCCCACCTTGTTTGGACTCGCTTAGTATGCATCATTATATATATATATATATATATATATATATTACCTCCGTCTCTTATTAGTTGTCTATTTTTTATTTTATAACTTTTTAAGGGGACATGCAATTAATGCATTGTCCCTTTTTAAAATTACCAAATTATCATTTTTAATTTAAATATATATAGTTACAAAGTTTGAATTTTTTTAAAAGGATAAAGGACAATAATGGAAATATAAAGAAAATATATTTTGACTTTTTAAAGAGGACAACTAATTTAGAACATGTAAAAAGAGAAAAATGGACTTTTAAAAAGGGACGGAGGGAGTACAACAGAAGTGATACTTTTTCTTTTTTTTTAGGTAAAAACAGAAGTGATACTTTTGCTCAATAGTAAGCAAGAATTTTATCTGCACCACACACATTGTGATCGTTGAATATGGTTGTTATGTTTTTTTTAGTAATTATAATTTTTACACTGAAATGATATCAACGGTTATCATAAGAAAGTTTCTTATTCATCACGAGTAAGAGATCAATACTTTATAAATACATATAGAAAATAATAAACATTGTGAAGAGATTTTCTGATGATTATCACAAATGAGACGTTGCATCATGACCATTTTCTTTGGAGAGTTAGAGAGAGAAACCTTAACCCAGATTTCCTTTTAGAAAGCTGTCAATGGCAACCACAACCCTTAAGCACTAGTGTAGGTGTGCCAGAAGCCACTTGAATATTCAAAAAACAAACAAACAAACGATGGAAAAGAGAGTGACACGAGGGTGTAATATTTGGAGAGAAATGGAATGGGGCACCGTATTGCTATTTATTACACATATGTTCAAAAAAAGGTTCAAAATGTATAGCAAGAAATATATCTATCAAACAATTGGACCAAATCATGTAAAAGAGAACCAACTTTTAGTCTCCCCCACTGATCAAATTTGTTATACCAAGAGGGGAGGGGGGGAATTGGTTTAAGTAGATTTCTTTCCTTCAATCAGAGTCACACTATTTATTGACCTTAAGAAGCAACACAGATTGTTGTAGGTATACCTAAACCCTTGAAACCCTAATATCAGTAAAGTGTTTGATAAAAGTCCATAGTTACAAACCACACTTGACATAGTTTTTTTTAAGGTTAATTACACTCACACTTCCTGAGATTTGCTATATTGACAGTCAGATGAAAATTAGTTTCTTTTTTAACAATGACACCCCCTCAATTTAAATAAAGTTAACAAAGACCCCCAAACATCACCTGCCGCATCATATATATGATGAATTGACCTATATGCCCTTTGACTTGTCAACAACAAGCTTTGAATTATGAAATGACTTAAATGTCCTTCTCACCAATTTTAATCCCCTCTCACTGTCTTCTCAAATTCCCAACACATCACCCCAAAGTAATTATATATATATATATCGTGTGTGTGTATGGGTGGGTGTGAGTTCAGCATCAATGGAGATTCAGTATGTAAGAGCATTAATGGAGATGTCTCTCTCTAAGGACTCTCTTTCCATATATATATATATATATATATGGATATACGTGTGGGTATGTTTATATAATATATATATATATATATATATATATATATATATATGCAATATTGACTATATGAAACGTCAAGCTTCAAACAATGAAGCAAGCCAGAATTTAATTGCAAAATACAGAAACAAAAGTTGAGAAAAAAATTAAAATAATAAACCAAAAATCATTCTACATATAAAGTACAAATACAATATTTACACACGCTAATTAAACTGATTCCCTTGTTGTTGTCAGACATTTCCCAAAATATCAGCATAACGTTGAAGTGAAATTAAGGTTAGAGAAGAGTCACCAATGAGATTTGCAGAGGATTTCTCACAATCCAAAGGTTAGGGAAAAGGTAACAGAGACTATGGTCTCGCACCCAGCAAATTCACTCTTACCATACCTAAGTTGCAAGACCCATTCACGAACCCAAACCATAGCCGCATGATTTGAACCAATCAACAACAACACCCATCGCCAACAATCTCGCCGGAATCTACGATTATCGTTACCCGAATCTTCCCAAGCTTTTGTCCTCATCAACCGTCATCGTCATCGGAGTGTTTTCACTGCTACATCGTCGCCGGAATCTAATACTTTGTCATCGGAATTGTGCTTTACTGTTGTCACGGCAACCATTGTCGCAGTCATGTCAATTTGGTTGTCGCCGGAGCCTTTTGTTGGATCTTTGTCGTTAGAATCTTCATTGGAGCTTTGCCCTACTCGCATGATGTGGAAGAAGACATGGATCTAGATCGTCCTTGGGAAGACGGGAGAGGTGAGAAAAAAATAAAAAGTAAAAAATAGTATTAATATTGAATTTTCTCATTTAAGGCATTTTGGTCAATTAATGTTTTATATATTTTATATTAAAATTTGATAAGATATTCAAGGGTAAAGTAAACATTTTACATATTTTAAGGGTTTGTTTGGATACAAAATTTGACAGGGGATGTCATTGTTCGAAAAGAGACTAATTTTCATTTGACTGTCAATAGAGCAAACCTCAAGGGTTGTCACTATAATTAACCCTTTTTTTTACAAGGAAAAACTCTTATGTAAGGTTAAAAAACCTTGAAGTTGTGGGAACTCACCCAATATTTCACTATGATTGTTTAAAGGATACACACTGAACTGTCTCACACTCGAACAATTGCCAACTTCACTATAAGTTCTCTCAGCAGTCCCCGGCTTAAACATCCACTGATTGGACCAACAATCACTCAAAACCCTCACAATAAAACAAGTAAAGATAGTAAAAACAGTCACTCAAGCCATATGATATAAATTACAAACAAATTACTCCCTCTGTCTCAAAAATAGTTAGGTACTTTGGGAACTGTGACTCAACTTAGGAGTGAAGAACACAACACTCTCATAGTTATCGTTTTTGTAGAACTGAGGTTTGAGTACTGTAAATTAAACACATCCTCTGTTCATTCTTCTTCTATGATGAGACATCTTCTATATAGTCAAATATACTTGCTTAACGAATACAACAGTATGAAGATCTCAGTAAACTTGATAGCAGCACAACATTGTTTATATAAGCTTGAAATGATGAACGAGATGTGTGTAGACCATTGTGAGCTCAAACAAGTCCAGAATATGTGAATAAGTCTCCTTGAGCAAGTTGCAGCTTCAGATATCAGCTTCAACACACTTGAATAGATGTTACAGATGCCTTCAGGTTTTCAGCTTTCACTCCATAGAATATCTCGAGTCAACAACACTGAAATGACATTGTTAGAGGTGTAAAAATGGAGGAAGATGAATTTTTGGAGGCTCTTACCCTGCAGTTTGGGATTTCTCTCACTAAGCTCATTACAGCAACAACATCATCATATTCTATATAGCTCCAAAAAAACAATTGATACAACCCTAAGGATAGGAATTACAATTGTTCACAATCATTGGCCAGAGAATATTTTGATCGTTAGTGCAACAATTAGACCTATATTCCCCAACTTTTGACAACTCACTTTTATAGACACAAAGGCACAACCTTCTGAGATTTAAATTTTGATGAAGCATTATCTGAGGGAATTAATGACTTTTCAACTCAAACGATCATTCTATAATTTAGGACCATTGAAGAGGGCACGTGTCAGCTCTAGATAACCTAAAATATTACCTTAATGCCCCTTGACTAGATCATTAGTGTATATACCTACTAATATCTAATACCCCTAATTTTTAGATGTTTAAGTTACTTAATTTTTATTGCATTTTAATTGGAATTGGATTATTTAGTTACTTATGTAACGACCCGAATTCGTGGGTCCGAACCATTATCCGAGTCCTTATCTGAATTCGAGGTCAACTAAAGATGACACTTTCATTGATTGAACAAAAGTAAAATTTAATTTTCCATTCATCATTAAATAATTACCTAGTCTCAATTTGCATCTAATTGCCATAAAGTTTATAGTTACAATATATGGTCTTATTTTACTAAATGAATACACCTCACTAAGAGTTGAGACGTTACAAGAGAATGGTGAATATACAAAAGGTGAAAAAATTTGAACTTCTAGTCTTCTTTAGCCTTGTGATGAGTCGGCAACCACTACTTACTCCCCAAGTCTTGAAAAATATTAAATAATAGGGTGAGCATAAAACTCAGTAGGTGGTACCTAAGACACACCTCTTGTGACCCCGTGAATCCAAACAATGAATAGAACAATAAGGAGCGGGGTCGTGCTAAACCGGGGAAAATACATTATCAATTCCA